ACACACACACACACACACACACACACACATATATAATAATAATAATAATAATAATATATATATATATATATATATATATATATATATATATGAACTCTTGTTAAATGCCAGGAACGCTTGCAAAAATGCTAAGCCACAATACGTGCCGGTTCCACAAGCCCAATTGAACTTGAAACTTACCTTTTGTTACACTCGGGACACTGCTTGGTTCCTCTGGCCATTTTGATACTGTAAGGAGTTGGCGTGCGATAGTTCCTATACCCAACTCATTAAAACTCATTAACTGTATTTGCTATCGTTCTAGAATATTGCCAGATATTCTGTGTAACCGGAACAAGTAGACTGTGTGATACTGACCTTCGCAAAAATAGTCATAAACGTATATATGCCTAGGAAGCAATCATATGATCACAAGCACAGCATTTTTATATTTGTATATTCGTTTCTGCTAAACTTTCTAAACACACACACACACACACACACACACACACACATATATATATACAAATATATATATATAGAAAGCTATTTGTGTCACAGAACTACATGTATTTATGTATGCATATAATTTTGTATACGCAATGCACTACGCACACTGAGTCTATCCGACTTGTAGACTAGTGCTTATATAAATTGCCTCCACGTGAGCGTGACTTCCTTTATGTAGACATACATAGTGTTCATGAATGTGAGTGAAAAGCGATTTTGTCACAAGTTCCCATCTGAAATGAATGCAAAGTCTCGTGTTTTGCCAGAATTGTCAGTTGCCTCAGTTGTTTCGATATAATCTCACCCGGACAGCGAAATGTTTATAACGCCAAAAAGAGGTCTTATCGTATGTTTTTAAGAGTTTTGTCGAGAATTATTTTTGTCATCTAAGTCCATACTACAAATGCGCATGGAAAGCACTTAAATATCTCTTATATATAAAGAAATATACAATATTTATGTTTATATATGGCAGTTGCCATCCGAGTGGAAATATCACGATATACGTGTTTGCATGAGCGCTTCAGTACAGTTGCTTAAGGTGAATACGGTTGCATGATCTGATGAGAAGTAGATTTGTTATGTGTTGTTATGAGACTTCCATTTGATTAAAAAAGCATCCCGGGCTT